AAGAACACTATCCTCAACCTCGTTATTTATCCTGTCAGTATTTCACTGAATGAGAATACCTCTCAACCTGTTATTTATCCTGTCAATATTTTGCTGAATGAAGACACCTCTCAACCTGTTATTTATCCTGTCAGTATTTCACTGAATGAGGACACCTGTCAACCTGTTATTTATCCTGTCAATATTTCGCTGAATGAAGACACCTCTCAACCTGTTATTTATCCTGTCAGTATTTCACTGAATAAGAACACCTCTCAACCTGTTATTTATCCTGTCAATATTTTGCTGAATGAAGACACCTCTCAACCTGTTATTTATCCTGTCAGTATGTCACTGAATAAAGACACTTCTTCGTCTGTTATTTATCCGGTCAGTATTTCGCTGAATGATGACACCTCTCAACCTGTTATTTATCCTTTCAGTATTTCACTGAATAAGAACACATCTCAACCTGTTATTTGTCCTGTCAATATTTCGCTGAATGAGGACACAGTCAGCTTTTTCACAATGGAAGCACGGTATCTCCCATCCTTTGTTTGTAGTATCAGAAATAATCAAGTATTTTATAAATCAATTGAATAGCTTAAAGTAGTGAAGATTATTTTACAGAATTTTCGATAATATTGCCAAAACGATATCTGCAGCTGAAAGGTAATATAATATTGAAACATGTTTTTTCGATATAATAGATTAAAAATTGTTGCTGACTCTTGAAACTTCCGATAAAAATCGATAAACAAAATTCGCCGGACTTTTCAAGCTTTACATAGAAGTGTAACTCCGAAGTATATACAAATATAAAAACATCTGATGGATTTTAATTTATTTAAAACAAGGCAGGTGGATTTGACAGAATAAAATCAACACAACAGGAGAAAACTGCTCATCGTTGGTTTGATGTTGTTGTTGTTGTTTTTCAATATGAAACGCTAATAATAATAATGCCATTATGCACAGTTTCAACGTATAACTTTTGTGAACAGTACAAATCTGGACTTTGCAAACCATAGGAATTTGATAAGACTTAGTTTTAAAACTTCGACTATTCATTTTCGCCACCAGGGTACACTAGTAATAGAAATTTTATAAATTGCCGAAACTATAGAGACCTCTTCGAGATTATAGATACTTTTCCTTTTATGAGTTAAATTCGTTTGACAAAATCGAAATATAACAGCATAGAAGCTCATTATCAAACCACCATAATTAGGTAACCTTACACGTGATGATAGAAGGTCATTATCAAACCACCATAATTAGGTAATCTTACACGTGATGATAGAAGCTCATTATCACACCACCATAATTAGGTAAACTTACACGTGATGATAGAAGCTCATTGTCACACCACCATAATTAGGTAATCTTACACGTGATGATATAAGCTCATTATCACAACACCATAATTAGGTAATCTTACACGTGATGACAGAAGCTCATTATCACAACACCATAATTAGGTAATCTTACACGTGATGATAGAAGCTCATTATCACAACACCATAATTAGGTAATCTTACACGTGATGATAGAAGCTCATTATCAAACCACCATAATTAGGTAATCTTACAAATGATGATAGAAATTCATTATCAAACCACCATAATTAGGTAATCTTACACGTGATGATAGAAATTCATTATCACACCACCATAATTAGGTAATCTTACACGTGATGATAGAAATTCATTATCAAACCACCATAGTTAGGTAATCTTACACGTGATGATAGAAGCTCATTATCACACCACCATAATTAGGTAATCTTACACGTGATGATAGAAATTCATTATCAAACCACCATAGTTAGGTAATCTTACACGTGATGATAGAAGCATTATCACACCACCATAA